AGCAGAAGCGTGAGCGGTGTTCAATCCAGGCTGGGGGAAAAGCTGACGCGAAAGCTTGCTCCTCGTGCTCGCGCCGCTTCTCGGATAAAACCGCAGCTAGCCGTTATCGAAGAGCCTCAGCTCCCGCTCTGTCTTCTGGCTGCTCTTAAATTAGTTGTTGGTTGAGTTCTGGACTTGACTGATAAAGAAAAGCTGAGGACAAAGGGCGTGCAGCTGCACCCCATGTCTGTAACAGCCGTGAAGTACCTTCACGCGTTTGCAAAGAGTTGCTTTCGGGTTTCGAGAGTTGCTTTTCAAAGTTTTATTTTTTAAAAAATTGTATCTGTTATGAACATCGTATTCACTATTCTGTTGGGGAAGGGAAAACTTATAAACAATGGGAAGTACGCTTTTAATTTACAAGACAATTAAAAGTAATTTAAAGGAACTGCAGTGTGTTAGATGCATGAAGTTTCTGTAACAATGTTTAAACTTACTCTTCTGTCATATATCTCACATATTCAGCGTTATCGCTTTACCCTGGAACAAAATGAACTTTGACATTAAACTTGGTAGCATGTGTAAGTAAAAAAAATTTCAACTTATCTGAAAACAGAAGAGAATATAACGTCATCTGACTCTCCTTTCTCTTACCTCCCATCCCCATCCGCTCACCTTTCTTATAAAACTTACACAAACAATTTAAGGTTGACATAACGGTGTTCAACTACAACATAGATCTTCACAAATTTTCATCACAGAGAATTTGAATTTTGCTCCTTATTCAGCTACTACCTACACATTCAGGTCTCTCGTGAGTTTTTAGAGTGCTTTAAGCTTACTGACAAGCTTGCACAGGTGAAAGCTTGATTTCTGTCGCTCAAGGTAGCAATGCAGCAGGGAAATTTAGTCTTCAGAGTCGCAGAAAAAATTTTTGTCAGGTGTTTGTAGTCTTCATGCTCTGCTGCTGTTCGCACTGCTCTGCACAAGGGCAGTTTTATCCTTCTTGAGACAGTTTCTGGCATCAGGCATAGCCATACCGAGTAGTCCCGGTGAAGTCTGGGGGACTTACTGCCCTAGATCCTGCAGGGGACAGCTGCCCCATGTATCTTATCTAGTTCAACAGTAAGCCTGGAAAGTTGTAAAGCTTTACAGGGTATAGAAACCCACTCTCAGAAGTATAGCGTTTTTCCCAGTGCCTCACAGGAAGATGTGGCAGAAAATACTGACAATAATAATTAGAGCGTAACTTCAATATGGAGAGGCAAAACAGACTACAGGCTGCTTCTTTTGGAAATAAGATACCTGAAAGGATCTAAAGCAGGATCTGAATAATTATTTCTCGGGAGATATTCTTGGGATACCAAATGAAATTACCAGGCAACAGCTTCAAAACAAACAGAGCAGAAAGTGGAATTTCTCTTCACAGTCCATGACTTTCGGGTGTAGAACTCGGGTCACTGCTGTAGTATATGATGGCTAAAAGTATAAATGAGTTCAAAAAGAATCAGACAACATAAATGGAGAGCAAGTGTTAGGCATAGCGATCAGGATGTAACCTCCATTTGTGGAAGTTCGTGAGCTGCTGGTGGCCTGTGGATCTGAGGTTAGCTGGTCAGGACACCTCTATGCTGTGTCCTTTTCTTCTTCAGGCACCCTCTCTCTGACAGAGGCAAGCTACTGTTCTAGGTGGAAACGTGGTCTAATCAAGTGCAGCGGGTGATAGGTTTTCTTTTTCTTAACTTACTGCGCTTTTGTTGGTGGAGAGGCACATCCTTATTCTGTGAGTGGGACACAAGGCGCTTGAACTGAACTCCTCCTTAAGTTATTTTGTCAGACCTACAGGAAGGCTCCTAAGGATAGGGAAAAAAAGGCGCTTTGCCTCATTGGTAGCTTGGCCTTAATTATAATCTAAAATTCCTCAGACTAGGCTTAATTGCTAGATTCATGGTTTCTAAACTGTTCTCTTTGACCAAGCGTGCTACGAAGCACAGCATAATGCTGTGGAAGGAAGACAGGAGTACGACAGCCTATTCTAATCCTTCATCTGCCATTGATTTTCCAATTACTTTGCATTTATTTCCTTCTCCGGTATCTGGGTTATGGCTTCACAACTCATCTCTGAGAAGGATAGGTGAAGAGTGTTCACGCAGGAGTTTAAACATGCCAAACTCCCTATAAGTAATAGCTATTTTAGTGAGCATAAACAGAATCTGACAGCTCATTTTGTTCAGGTAATAATGTTCGTAAACAACGTTAGTCGCAGGTGCAAGCTGCCATTAACTACTGCTGTGGCCAAAATATTACCTTTGTTTCAAGGTGATCTGGGAGTGTGGTTCAAAAAGTAGCTTGAGCAGCATCCGAAAGGTGCTGCTGTGTGGTATCACAATGAGACTTTTTGAAAAAAAACTAAGTGTATTAGGATTGTAAATTTGCTAACCGGGACACTGAATTTAAAGATGGAGGACTGCCTACAGCCCGTAAGTTTAGATCTTGGTTTACTATTTCCTGTACCACAGCTTTTTGGGGGGATGGAATGGGATGTGGGATTTATATGGCAATGGCTTATGTGTCTTGATTTCAGCCAGAAGTTACACTGTTGTCTTGCCGTTGCTTGGAGCTAAGAAGAGAAACAATCAAAGGAAAGAAACCCTTAAAGTAATTTAATTTCTGTGAGGATGTGGGTAGGGGTAGGGGAAAGGAATAGATCGAAAATAGAAGAAAGTGATTAGATTTAAAAGTATACAGACCCTGGAACAAAGCTCAAGAGAACTGTGTTGTGAGTTAAATGAACGAGATTACAACCCTAGACTTCACTAGTCTTGTGGGGGCTACAGAAAGCTCAGATTTAACAGGACCGTGTTTGAAAGATAGTTACTTTGTACAGCAAATACACATATGGTCTATTTGTTTTGTTTAAAGTCTCTTACCAATTTTGCTCTGATGGAGTCCCTCTTGTGACTGTTTACCACTGTCTTTTTTCCTGGAAGGGAGAGAATTGCCAAGAAGCGTAAGTGAGGCCTGCTGTGACGGTAACGTTTAGCAGCCAGTGCCCTGAAACTGCTCACTCTACCTAGGTGAAGTAATAGGAGCCACCTCTAGAGAGCTGTACACCTCTTAAGACTAGGGGGCTGTATATGTAGTTAGGTCGGTAATAAGAGATGTAATTAACGTGAGACTTTTTATTCTTTCTCTGTCAAAACAGAACAAGGAAAGAGTCCTGATGCTCATGCTTGCTTGTTCACACCCACTCAGATAAAGTAGTTCAAAGGAGAACAATCAGATGATGAAAGGTTTTGTCTGGCAATCTAAAGCTTATCAAAACTCTGTTGTATAGTAAAGACGATGGTAATTAGTACTTCTAAAACTTTCAGAAATTAGGTAATGTATCAGAGTGTTATCACTGCACTGGGTCTCATTACCATATCTCTATTTTATCCTGGCCTAATGTAAGAACTAAGGGCTTGTATATTCAGTTCAGAGGGAGGGCAGACCAAGGATGCATATTGCTGCTCCTTTGTGTTTTCTGGTTCCTCCTGATAGCAGTCTTTAAAGAAGGATTGAATATAAGTGAATATAGTTCTCAGAAGTCTTAATTTCAGCTGGGTATGTTATCCCTTTGAGAGGAATACAAGATTAGTGTAGAGTCATTTTCTTCCCATGTTTTCAGTTACACTCCATGAAATTAACGCTGAGCTTTTTAAGTGTTTCCAATATTCTAGAACTTCTACTATTAGAAAACATAATGTTCTTCACTGGAATTTCTATTAGACTCCTTACATTTTTGTCTCTAAATTATGATTATCAAACCCTATTTTCAGCTTTAATCTTACTCTTATTTGGTAATTCTATTAAAGAACATTCTTGGATGCCTATAGCACTTTTCTACCACATATCAAAAGGCAATTTAAAAAAAAAAGCTTAATTTTGCAAAATTTTCAAAGACATCTATAGTGATTTAGAGTCCTTCCCAAGTAGGACTTAGGCCCCAAAATCACTTTCCAAAATTTCCTTTTTATATCAATTTTCACTGTTTGAAAAATGAAAACATAGAAAGTCAAGTGACTTTGCCAAGATCACACCAGCATTTTGTGGAAAAGTGAGGAAGGAGGAGGACACAAATCTCCGGAGTCTGTTTGGACACTTGGCTGCAGAACTTTCCCTCCTCTCTGCATGTTGTCTAGTTGCTACAGTATGAGAGTATATACTGATTATTATGGTTCGAAAGATAAATACAAGTAAGTTTTTCAATATTTTTTCGAATCTGAATTAAACATTCATAGAGAAAGCTGGGCCTGGAAAATAGTATAACAGGATGTGCACTTCTTTGCTTCTTCTTACCTGTTTGTAGATTTGATCATAAAACTGTTCCTTTGTAATAGCTTGTGGGAAGTGGATAAACCTGGACTCCATTGTAGGAGCACTGCAATCTGGTTTTCAGGGACTCAGGTAAGGAACAAAAATGATAAGACCAAAGCAGTGGACAACCAAAAGCCCATTGATGTTAAGGGCATGTGGACATGCTAGCAGAAAACCTGATTACTAATTGAATACCGGAATTTGTGTTACCCTTAGAGACTTTTGTAGCTTTTATCTTATGTAGCTTGTCTTTCTCATTACTTGTTCTATTTCAGCTGGAACAGGAATACAGGCTCTCAGTTTGCAGCAAGCTATGCTATGCAATAGGAGGTGCCCCAAATCAGGTGGCAGGGAGCGCTGCTGCCTTCTTCCTACAGATCTACCTGCTAGATATAGCCCATGTAAGTAACACAGGAAACCTTTACAAATTATTGACTTACCTCAATTCTGATTTAATTAATGATTTCATTTCTTTAGAACTAATATGGGTAAACTAGCTAACACAGATTTTAAACTGCCTTGTTATCATTGCCTTTAGCTGCTAAACGTCCTGGGAGTTGCATAAACCTGTCTAAAAAGAGGGAGTTTTTTTCACTAGTTTCATTTCTGATTTGAAGCGGCCATTATTTGCTTTTAGTTTGGGATCATCAGCTGAGTTTACACACTTGCAGACACAGGAAAATGTGGTTCTTGCTGTCAAGGATCAAAGAGTCTAAGATATGAGACATGTGAAACGTTAGTATAAGTTTCTGTTCATTCAGACTACAACCTGGTCAAAAATCACTGCGGTTGAGTCCAGTAGTCCACATATTTCATGTCAATTTTATTTTGTTTAGCTAGGATAATTATTCTTTGCAAAGAAAGCTGAGTAATCCTTCCTGAAGGTTCTTTACTTCCATTCTGTGGCTTTCTGGTACAGAAGCAGACCTGGTAAAAAAAAGCAGCAGGAGTCATCCCATTCATCTGACTTTCAGCTGCTCCAGCTAGATTGCAGGGCAGCAGAGGAACAAAGAAAATGAATCCATAAGCAATTTTGACTGGTCTGGATAGTCTTCTGTATCTGTGTAGTAACTAGGTGGGATAGGCAAAGTATTATAGGAGGGAATAAAGGTAGGGAACAAAAGGGTTTTAGGGAGATGAGGCCAAATTGCAGGGTCTGTGAGAACAGCTGCTGCTGAAACCGTATGAGCAGATTTCAGCACTGACTGTTTTCATTTGCTGGAAGGAACAGGAGGTCCTCTAGCAGATATAAATACCCATTTGCTATTTGAGATGTAGAAAGACAGGATGAGTACATCATGATATGGGTGGGGGGGAGTAGAGGTGTCAGAAAGTTCGGGTTTATATTTTTCCTATAGAAGTCTGATATCAGAAGCTGGGGCTGTAAAAGAAATGCCAAATCTCGTGAGTTACTTGATAGACTTTCAAGTTTTGGCATCACGATATGGTTGGCGTTGAAAGCTGTCAAGTTCTTAAATGTCTGGTTGAGACCAAAGTCACGGGATCTAGAAAAGGGACCAGTCTTGGAGAGCAGCTTCAAAGGTGGCAACGGGGTTGATAGGGAGTGTGAGAGTCGAGGATGGAAGAGGGAATTTCTTGGAGATGCAGCAGGAGGTGGATGCAGCTCTGACCGCAGCTATTTCACACTTACTTCAAGGATGGCAGTACAAGCTCCTGAAGATAAGTGAAGGATGAACTGGACCGGATGAAAAAGACACTAACACAGTTCTCCCAATGTGCTTATAAATAGGGGAATTTCCTAATCTTCTGCCTATTCACAGAAATTGAAAATTCTTGAAGATAAGGACTGTTTATTTCTTCATGTGTGTGTGTAAAGTGCCCAGCAAGCTGGGGTCCCAGTCTTACCTCTCTGTGGGCACTACCTAAATAAATGACATAATAATATATACTTTTTTTTTTTTTTGGTTAGTAAGATCCTCTTACTGAAACACAGCAATTTTGCTTGATGTTTGTAGTAATTCACCTACTGCTTTGTAAAAGGGCTTAATTATTTATTCCTTGATGGTTTAGTTAGTCCCCAAAGTAATCCTGCATGACAAAGATTCATTTCAAAGCCTCTCCAACAGATTTGAATTCTCATGGATTTTTCCACATATTTTCAGGGGAGAGTATGTCATTTTATAGTCATAACCTGGAATTAATTCCTGTCCTCTTAGAGGCAAAACGAATTCAGCTGTTCCTTGGAGATTGTGAAACTCACTATGTATAATCCTTCATACGTAATCTATACCCGTTCTAAGAAAATACTTTTGTATTCATCTTCTGTAGCTTATAGTTATTCTGTTTGAATTCCATGTTACATCTAAATTACTGGTATGAACTAGTGCTATATATAATGGCAAACCACACAGAATGCTTGCGTCAAATTACTAGAGAACACCAGAACCTCCAATAGTAGGGTCCTATCCTTAATTCCTTTCAAGGTGGGTGAACACGGCACATTTTATCTTGTATTTTATTACCACCTAGAAGCTACTGGCACTGGGGCTGACAGACATGGTTTAGATTTAGGGGCAGCAGCCAACTGCTCTGGGACAGAGCGCAATGACTCTGCCATGTGCAGCAGAGGGATGCTTGGAGAGGCACTGTCGTTGCTTGCTAGTGTATCATTCCCAATGCTTCCCTGTCCATCAGCTTTCTAGGGTAGGATACGTGTCTTGGAGCTGGTAGCATCAGGAAGGTTGGCTACCCCTGCAGTCTCACCTAATTTGAGCTAAAATTTAACAAACGTGATTATAAAAGTGCACAGCATCTCCCTTTTAAAAAGGTCATCCAGGATATTTCAGAGATTATTGCTTCTTTCTTCCTCCTCTGAGGGAGTATTGACAGAAAATTTTGCGGATCGGGGACCTGCCCCACCAGGAAGCCATGGGACTCTTCCTGGCAGGAGATAAGCTCTGCAGAAAAGCAAGGAATACTAGCTCAAGCTTGGTGTTGTATCAGCTGCATTCGCCAGGCTTCCAGCTAGGCTGGATCACTGACAGCATGAAAGAGCATATAGACAAAGGGTTTTTGTCTCCTGTCACTGTTTGAGTCCAATAGGCTGCTTCAGCATCTATATATATGTATATATATTTTTTTTTTTTGGTAAGAGAATTGATTTGAGGATCATTCATGATTATATAGATTTCAATGACTCTTTTCAAGCCTCTACTTCAGTGGCATGGACTTGGCACTTAGAGGAGAACCAACCTCTTTTTTTAGCTAGTGTATGTTTTGAACTCCTACATTCTCTACAGATATATGTAGAGATAAATGCATTGCCCAGGATAAGCTGTAATTCTATATGTGCACTAAAATATGGACTTTCCAGGTTAATTTCAGAGTTTTTTCCCACTTGGCTCATTTTATTCCTCTGTAACATGGGAATGTTTTTCAAGGGTGATTTGTTGGTCTTGTGCTGACAACTTCGATTTGAGCAGCAGTGCGTTAGGCAGTTCACTTGTCACAGCGTCATTCTGGGTGGATACGAGTTTGCTATGCTCTAACTTCTTCCATAGCCACATGCCACCACTTGGCAGTGTTATTGGTAATCTCAGGAGATGAAAAAGGCTGAATTCATGTAAACAGCTACCTCTGCTTTAGTCTAGTTCAGATCAAGGTAAAGATCTGGAAATGGGGCTGTATGGGGAATGAAGTGAGGGGAAAGTTACAGAGGGTCTCTGTCTGCTTTTATGACCAAAACAAGGATTTTAGTTCCCTGGGCTCCTCGATTTGACCCCTTTTCCTAGTTCTAAATATATCCATAATCTCTTCTTCCTTGCACTTCTCCCCTCCAATCCTTCCTTGCATGTTGCCTGTCTTGACGTCTTATTTATTTGCTATGGGAAACCAATAGCGTAACCAATAGTAATGTCTTTGATAGCAGCAGACATGTAAATGACCTACTGTTACTCTTTAAAGCACTGAGATTCTTTCTGGAAAGTCGCTTTTTGCTGTTTCGTTGTATTGTAAAACAATGGCCGCTGTTTAGAGGACTATGTCTGTACTTTCAGATTACTCCATTTCATGCCTCTTTGGTGCTGTTCATTGGCAAAGCCTCAGGTGCAGTTACTGATCCTGTTGCGGGCTTTTTTATTAGCAAAAGTAGATGGACAAAAATTGGCCGGCTCATGCCTTGGTAAGCAGAAATATGTGCATATATTTACATATGTATGTGTATATTTTTTATGTGAGTGCTGTAATCATAGATTAATTTCATTAAACTGTATTTTTCCTTAGCTGTCTCCCAGACAAGAGTGATCATATTAATTTTACCTATATAAAATTCAAAAGAAAAATTCCCATGCTATCTATTTCTCTTCAACTTGTTCTTCTGTGAAAACATACAAGAGATTTTCTACCACTGGAGAAACAAAAAAAATGAAGATAAGACATTGGGTTGTTTTGTTAAGCCAAACCAGAATCTCAGATCTAGAATGTTCTTGAATTTGCAGCTGAATTTTCATCTCTGTCTGCATTCGTTTTAGTTTGATTTCATTGTGCTCTGGATTCTGAGTTAAAAGGGGTGCTAGTCCCTCCCTCACCCTCCTCTGCAAAGTTGGACCTTGTTTCTACTTGTGTCCTAGTGTGTCTTCCCTTTTCACATGAGCCTTCCGGGAGCTCCCTTAAGTTAAATTCTCTAGGGCTTACAGTTAGTTCAGTACGGGATGTGTGCACATGTGCGGCACAGATTTGACACCACCGCTAGTTCAAGCCCCCAGTAACTAGCACGGCTCGAGCAGTCCGCCTCATTCTTCCTTAAAGCGATCGTTCTGGTCCTGCTTCTCTTAAGTCCTATTAGTCAAAAATGCTTAATCAGAAAATCACCATACCTTTTGTCAAAGAATGAGATGCTGTAAGATTTTGATCAGCATTGTTATTAGGCATAGATTTTGTTATCCCTCACATGCACTCACGTGCACTCTAGCTCAGATGTTTTTTTTTTTGTCCAGGAGAAAGTGCATGGCAAGTAACACTTGTCCGTATGCTGTCCATGCGCTATAAGGAGGGGACAGAGGAATGAAACAAGTGGATTGCGAAGGGATAGTCCCTGTTAGAAGAATCTATGCTTATTTATGCTTATAGGGAGTTTATTTGTTGTTTTTTTCATTTTAAAAGTCTAGGAGAGACTGAATGGTTTCTCTCTTTTACTATAATGCTATGTTGTCAGATATTTTAATTGGTGGCTTTCTTCTTCTTCCATTAATATAATCCCAAAACTCAGTTCACAACTAAAATCTAAGAGTAAACATGTGGCACCCTGAGCGAAGCAATCAAATTGTGATGAAAAATAAGCCCACTTCCTTAGCTGGTGGTTCTCTTGCTGTGGTGTGGCTTTAGGGCTACAAAAACTTCTTTGTGGGCAGCTTGTATCTGTCAAAGAATAGGAGGCAGGTATGTATTGGAAGAAGACTGAGATCAGTCGCTCTTGGCCCTAGCAGGAGCAGGACCTTCAAATCAAAATTAAGGTTTTTGTCAGGAGCCCTGTAGGAAAAGCAAAGCGGCTGCCACTTTGCTCTTTCTCTTTTCTGCGTTTGGTTTGTAGCCACATCAATAGAGGGGTTTTTTTATGAGCACTGAATTAACTTAGTAAAGAGATCATTCAAAAAGAAAATCATAGCATGTTTATAACAATTACCCTTAGCTGTATTCTGATGCTTTTTTTTCTCTAGTTCTCTGAAATACTGCAAATACTGCACGTTTAGTGCTAGTATTAGATCAGCGTTAGGATAACTCCCATTCTAGCTTCAGCATGAGTTTATCAGCTTTTTGCACTGCAAACCGACTGCTGTGCAACTTGCACTTCTTACAGAAAGAGCAGCTATCTAGCCCTGCCTTTAATAGCTGCTCATCAAACAACTTTCTTCTTTCCAGAAGGATTTCTTTTACGTAGCATGCTTAAGACACATAACCAGATAGTGGCATAAAAGAGACAAACTTGGTTAAATATTTTGTCAAAGGGGATAATAGCAGACAGAGATTCAGAAGGCTCTCAAAACTCACTGAAATTAGTGAGGAAAAGAAAGGATATGGAAAGAGGAGGGAACAATATTATTAAGAGGGTTATTGCTGAAGAGTTGCACAAAAAATGACTGTAAAAAACTTTATTGCGGAAACTATATCTGAGCATGTGTCTGGAAAAGCTCACACTTTTGGAGAAGAAGGTAGATTGCCTGAGATGTATTAAAGTCACAACCTTGTCTGTGTCCTCCATTGCTGACCAGCTATGACTGAACTGTGGCCTGGAAACTAGAGAGACAGAGAATACCAGAACCTGGCACTTTCCTTGCTATTCTACACATTCAGCTCCCAGTGCTGCTGTCCATCCCCGCAGAGCAGTATGGGAAAGCCATTGTTTTACTAAACTATTTACCCACATTACTCTTTTGTATTCTGTGTTTTTCGTTCACAATTGCAAAACAATCAGCTGATGCCCAACGTTAGTAGTGCTGTTGTGAAGGGATTAATATTTTCTCTTTTACATGTTTGGATTTTCTTTTGTTGGGTCTTGGTCATCCAGTTACATTGTTTAATGTATGATTTGCAATAACACAGGAGAGCTCTGGTGCTACTGCAGGTCAGGCTGCTGGGAAATAATTGCACCTTATCAGTTCTTCCATATCATGGAACTGGAAAAGTGTTGCTCATCTGAAGTCATTTTTAGACCAATTTAAATTGAATTGTTGCTTCATGGCAAGATCTTGAATTTAAGTTTCCATGGTCCTTTTTTAAGCCACCTTCTTCCCTAAGAGTTGAAGCTTTTATGTTTGATGTGATTAGGAGTTTGGCTATTGAGTTAAATGGAGCGAATTTGACCATAGGGTATGTACCAGGGTAGATACAGACCACAGGAACTTTTGAATTGAGCTGTCCATCACTTTTTATGCTATTTTCAGCACTTTTAAGTATATCAACATATTTGTACTTGCAGTGAAGAGGCTAAGTTGAGAGGAAGATCAAAGGTGTTAAAACTGGAAGCGGGAATCCTTGGTCCTAAGTAGGCTCATATGAAAATTGCTGAAGCATGTTGTGCTGCGTTTTAGTAGGGCTCAGTTTTCAATAGCTCTTTCTAACAAAGGTGCAGTATGAGGCATGTGGGTTAAGGACTGGCACTATAGTCATGGCAGTACAGTGTATGTGCGGGACAATTCGATCTGTTCTAGCTAGGATATTAATTTAAGTAAGTATAGCTCTTTTCCTTCACATTTGCTGTTTGACTGTCTTTTTTTTTCATTTTATGGCAGTACTGGTTTATATTTTGTATTAATGTGTGCATTTAATCCATGCTAACATTTAATGTTTAAAATCAGGTCATATATTTACAAAAACTGCACATAAAATAAATTGCATTGTATCAATTATCAGCAGGA